AGAGGATAGGAAGAAGACAAACTGAGGACAGGAAGAAGACAACCAGAAGACAGTAAGATAAAGAGCACCTGAGGACAGGAAGATAAAGTCAAACCAAACTTTCACCCAGCTCCACCTGCTGTGAACACAGATCTGAGAGTCCAGTCCAGCAGGATTTTACCTTCAGTCCCCAGAGACTGCAGGTGAGCGGGGACAACAGAACCAATCAAACAGTTCTGAGACTGTCCAGAGGCGGCGTTCGGGACGCTCAAAAATGGAGCCACGAATCGTCCTGTATGGGAGGAACAGCACAACATTGAAGCTAACAACGTTCTCTGTGTTCGTCTGACAGAGACGGCCATCTGCAGGACACCGGGGCTGTGCTGATACCAGAACACCACCCACAATGAAGACAGAACCAGAACTGAACCAACGGGCTGCTGAAACATTCAACCTGAACCAAAATAATCCAACCAGAGTTTTGCAAAAAGTTATTTCTTACAGAAAGATTCAGGATCCTGTCAGGCGTTTTTTGCTTTTGTTACTTTAAAGACCTGCAGTAAATCAGAGTTTCATGTAGTTGGTGTGTCTGCAGCATCAGCACAGGCCGAGAGAACTGGACCAAACACAGAATATGTTGAGGAGACGGCGAAGGCCTCGCACTGATGCCATGACTTGCCACCGCCTCACCACCTTTCTGTGTCACAGGGCCATACAGAGACCCTGAACCCTTGGATACCATCCTGTCAGACACACAACTTCCTGCGTCCCGGTCACTTACCAACACCTACAGCTCCAAACTGAGGCGAGACCAGTGGGGCGGTGCTGAACTGGTTGTAGGCCGGAACCGGAGCTCTGCTGAAAAGGCCGTAGGAGGTGGCGGACTGAAACGGCGTCGGAGCCGAAGTGGTGGCAGATGACGAGCTGGAGCTGATGGACGACTGAAAGACAGAAGGTCGGGAGAAACAAGATTAGATCTGGAACTCAAGCTGGGTCAGGGCAAGTTAGCTAAAACCTAAAAGTAGCAAAAGGCTATATAAAAGTTCAAAGCAGTAAGTTTGTAAAATGGATTCTGATGACCCAAACCTTAGGTTTCAGACAGGAACTAAAAAAGAAAAAAAACTGAGACAATGGAAGAAGTTTTGGTTCTGGTGTACCTGGACGATGGCAGGATCCTGGGGCAGGGAGCAGGTGGGTTTGGGCGGTTCGCACACCGTCAGATCCTTGATGTCACTGCCCCTGAAGATGATGTACTCAAAGGTATCATCTCGAGGCGGGATGGGCCGGTCAGTGGGGCGGTCCTCAGTGCCGAAGGAGCGGACTGATGAGGACGAAACAAAAAACAGATCTCGTTAGATTCTCGTGAAAGCAGATGTTTGACGAATGTTCTGCTCGTCTGACTGCAGAGGTAAATAAAACCTGAGAGTAAAACAGGAGCACAGTTTACAAACAGCAACAAACGCATCTCAGGTTCTGTCTCCTGACACCAGACGGGTTGATATCAGCTGACTCAGCATCCACATTCTTCTGTTGATGCCGTGTAGACTCAAACTGTTTCAACATTCTTTGTGATATTTTAACAGTTTATTTATTTAAACCTGCAGCTCATTCAGGAGAGTGCTATGACATTTAGTTTTTGTAATGTTTGTAATGTTCAAAATATTTACCTGTATTGAAAATTAAATTTCCCATTTTTGCAAAAAAAAAATTTCTTTGAAATACGACTTTTTGTCTTGATGTGCTACTTTGGCTTTTAGCTACTGTTTTGCTATTGTTCTACTAATTTTAGCCATTGCTAATAGCTTTTGTTCCTTTACCTTTGGCTACCTTTTTTCTACTTTTAGCTACCGCATAGCTCATTTTCAGCTAGTTTTCTACCATTTTGCTGAATATAACTTTAGCAATAGTTTTGCCAATTTTAGCTAATGTTGGCTACTATCCACTGTTTTACTGATTATAAACTTTAGCTACTATTCTGCACTGTTTTTATTATTTTTTATTGATCTTAATGTTTTAACAACTGTTTTTATGTGTTTAAATGTTCTTGATTTTATATGTACAGCACTTTGTGGCAGCTGTGGTTGTTTTAAAGGGATTTATAAATAAAGTATTATTATTATTATTATTTTGGTACTTTTGGATAAGGCTGTCAATTTTAGCTTTTGGCTAACACTCTGCCATTTTTAGCTCAAACGGTGCTTCATTTAACTCGTTTTACTCATTTTAGCCACCGTTTTGCTGATTTTAACATTAGCTACCGTTTAGCTCATTTTACCTTGTGCTTGGCTTAAACTTTATTTTTTTCATTTTCAATAAATTTCAGCAGTCATTCAGTGTCACACTGGATTTTCACAGTATGTTTTTTTTTTTTTTTGTTGTTGGTTCCAAAATGATTAGTGATTGTTTGAAGCCAATATCAAATCAGCATCTACCAATTCAGACTCATTGATAAGAGCAATGGACACATCTTGGTTTCATGTCAGGTCCAACAGAACCCTTCCCGCCTGTAAGAATCATCCTGATCTCACAAAGAACGTTGCCGAACGTCTGTGATGGCCTTTAGAGAGGACACAAAGTGACAGACCGCACAGGAAACGGACTAAAGCTAGCAGCAGCAGGACTTTACAGACGCCAACTCTCTACATCAGTTAATCTCCTTCGGTTTGGTTCTAGTACCCTTCAATCCAGTCCTTTGGTCTGGCCATGTTTGAATGTTTCCGCCTCACGTTTCTATCATCAGGAGCAAAATCAGAGATAATTTTATCTAAAACTCTGAACAAAAACTGTTCAGCATCTGTAATCATGGTGATCCTACAGCTCAAAGGTGCTCAGCATCTGTCACCATGGTGATCCTGCAGCTC